GGCGCCGTCGCTTTCCTGGGAGTGGAGCGGCGCCGCCAGCGGCGGCAGAGGCGCCGGACGGTGAGTCCCTTGGGCGGCGGGGCGGAGGCCAGAACCGGACGGGCAGGCGGGGGCGCCGGCAAGGCTGCGGGGCTCCGGCGCGGGTCGCCGCCCTTCCGCTGAGCTCTCCGGCTGGGACGCGGGGAGCCCTTGGGCTGTACAGCGGGGAAGCCCTTTGACGCCGGACTTCCCGGTGCCGCCCGTCGAAGCCTCCCGTTCTTCCCTCCCTCAGCCAGGGAGCCCTGCCCAGTCCTCGCTCAGGGTCCGCCCCGCCAGCGGAGGGACCGCCCGCCCGGGACAAGGACGACCCTCTTCCTTTTTCTCCTCGGTCCCGGCGAGGCGGAGCGCGGCAGGCTGGAGGAGAGAGGGGGAAGCGGCGGACCCGCAGCCTGCGGAATGGGGAGGAAAGAGGCGCGGCGGAGGCAAGCGCCGCGGTTGCTGCTGCTGTGCTGCAGTGCCTTGAACGCCTTTTCCTCTCCTCGGCGCTCTGCTGCATCTTTCCTTCCTTCTTTCTTTTTTTTTAAATCTTGGCCGAAAAGCTCCGGGTGGGCGCGGCGGCGGTGGCGGCGGCGCGGGGGAAGCCGAGGCTGGGTTGCCGAGAGAGGAACGTGGCCGGGCTTCTCCGAAGTGGTCGTGCGTGCCTGGAGCGCAAAGGGAAGCGCTCGCTCTTTCTCGCCTTCGCCCCAACTTAGGAAAGGAAAGGGAGCGGAGGCAGACACGGGTTTCCCTCGCCGCAGGCTTCCTAGAAACGGACTGGGCTGGACTCCAGTGATTTTTCACAGTTTTCAGAAGTGCGGTCTCTGCTGTCCCCGTCTCTAAGCAAAGGTGCCCATTAGAAGCCGAGTCGGGGTCGTGAGCGATTCTCTCCGCAGCCCTTTTCTCGGAGGCTGTTTCGCTTGTCACGTTTCAGGCTCAAAATGATGGCAGTGTATCGATATGCCAGAATTCACAGGCCACCTTGAATTCCAGCCAGCTGTTTCAGCCCAGTGCTCTGCAAAGCCTCTCTAGGTCAGTCAGTCTGTGGATCGCTATGTTGTGTGAATAGAGAAACCCATTAGTAAAGGCGTCCTTCAAATTCAATGAATGGGGTTGGAATAAAGCCCTGGTTAAATCTGAAAGTTGACAGCCATCTGGATGTGATTCCAGAGTTAAGATAATCTAATAAAATGAAGTACACCTATGAAATGCTTTTGATGGATTTGTACCCTCTGTGTAGTTGCTTTGGGTAACTATTTCCTGATTATATACATCTTATCGTTGGCTTGCCTCTAAATATATAGTAAAAGATGGTTCATATGTAAGTCATATGTAATTCACTCATTTTTGTTCTGTGTTTTAAGATTAATATTACAGCAGCTGTTTGGGTGCTGTCCCCAACCTTCTTGAGAACATTCTCCACAGTTTCCTGCTATCTTGCTCTGCCTTAAAGTTGTGAAAGTAAAGTTGAGAATACACATTGTAACAATATTTTTTACAAAAAAGAACCTAAGGCCCATTGTGAACTCAAACTTTTACTATATTTTAGCTTGTTAATTTATCCTGCCCATTTGAAAAGCTCTTTGGTTTCTGTACTCAAAACAAATGTATTTTATAATCCCTTTGTGCCAGAACAACTTCAGTGTACTTTATGGTAGTGACCTCTGCTTTTTTATTTTTTTGTGACACTCTTCAAACAAAACAGTTTGTGAGGCTACTAGGTAGCGGTGAATTTTCAACAAGAGTCATACTTGTAATTTTGTAGTACATCTAGTAACTCAGAATGCTTTCATTAATGGGCCAGAGAATACTGAATTGGATAGGCCGTGGGTCTTCAAACTTTTTCAGGAATCTGTTACTTTAAAAAAAAATTACTAGAACCCTTGACAAAGTTCTAGTGATAGAAAACTGGCAATAAAATGAAGCTTATATCACTGTAATTTATATGCAAACGTGTGTATTAAAGTTATTTGAACTTCACAAAAATCGATGCCCTAGTTACTGTTCTAGAAAGCCCTCCACTTATTTTAAGTATAAAAAGTAAACTGCAAAATTAATATTTTTGGTGTATACAGATTAAAACTTGAATGTCAAAATTACATAGTAATTCAATGTTTTAACAAAACAAATTAATGCCCACTCACTGGGATAAAATTGTTTTTCCTTAGAAAAATTGCTGTGGACATTCCTGACTGTGTTCAAGTGAACTTTTTTTTTTTGCCCTTAGTCTCCTACTGAGCCCTATTTTTACTTATCATAGATAATAGTTTTGATACATAGAGTCCAAAGAAACAACTTGTGTCAGAATGCAGGCCAAAAAAAAAAATAGTCTTTATAATGCAATAGGTATCTGATGGTTTTGTCTTATAAATTTATTTTAGCAGAATATTGATAGTTTTCCTTATCCTAGCTGAAAAGTTTTAGTCTGAAATGAATCATACCTGAAAAAGTAGGCATGATGTTAACTGCTTATTAAAAAAAAATCATAATGAAGTTAAATGGAAAGATTTATTAATATAGATTTATTAACACATAAATATGGTATTAATCACAGTCAGCCATGAGGTCAGTTTTGTATTGGTTTGTTTGTTGAGAAATAAAATAATTGTAATGCACATAACTAAATGAAAATATTCCTTGATTCTTACGCAGCAATACAAATAGATATATATGGGAAACCAGGAAATATTAATTCTCTGCTCATGTTAAATTCTCTCATTGTAACAAACTTATTTTTCATTCTTATGAATTAAAAAAAAACGAATTGAATGTTGCATTCATTTTGTTTGAAGGTTACAGTAGATTCCACCGAGCAGTCAACCTGTCTGTGCGGTAGATGGCACTGTGCGTTCTGGTGGCTTTTATAAGGCCAGAAATCAGATAGTTTTCACTCTTTTGACTCCTCTAGTATTCAACAGAAGACATGTTGTAGCTGTTTGATTGAATTATGGCACACAGCTCATGAATCACAACTGTAATTTATGTATATAGAACAGCTTCCTCCACTAGATTTGAAAGTCTGACATGCTTTTGATGACACAAACATCCATGGTGTAGTAAGTATGCTTTATTGTTTGTTATAGACATTTCACCCTGTGAATGTGTAAGCTTTAAAAGCCAGGCTACTTGGGGCCTGCCTCGGTGTTCAGTTATTCATTGCACACTGTGAAAAAAGCAAAGTTTTTTCTTCCTCTTTCACAATGAATAAATGAACTTAGCAAAGAATGGGGTCCTCTGGGACAGGGAAAATTTTCTTACCTTCCCTGATGATTACAACTACTGCTGCTGCTATTGTTGCGAGAGCTCCCCAGCGTCATTTGTCACGTTCCTCTGTCTTGTAAAATGGTCAGGTGACAGTGAAAGCATCTTACCTTATTATATCATTATATTACCATCATAATGATATGCATGGTTGCTATGGTGGCAGTGCAATGTTCATGTCATAATCTGGCCCCATCACAATGGTTGTGTAAATGTTTGTGTTGTTGTCACCTGACTGTTTTAAAGGAAGAACAGGGAAAGAACAGTTGTAGTAGAGAGCTTTGTGCTTGTATGTAGATGGTTTATTGGTTTAAGAAATCAGGCAAAATTTGTGCAAAAAAAAAAAAATGCTCCTTTTTATGAAGTTCATGTATACTTTATTCTCCACAAGTGTCACGGCATTGCTGTATTGTCAAGCTTTGATCTTTACAACCAGAATGTAGGCCAGTCGAAGCAATGTTTATCCAAACTTGGTGGTGATGCAGAATTCTTTTTGCAGGGCTTTGTGTGTGTGTGCATGTGTGTGTGTGTGTGAGAGATCCCATTTTTCTAATTACAAAATTGAGCCAATAGTGAAGCTGTCATGCAAACATGCCCTGTAAATATTAATATTTTTCTAATTCAGCAGATGTGTATCAAAAGTTACAGTTTTTATTTATTTATTTAACAAAATTTAACTTTGGGCAACCGCCTGGATTAAGTCCTGCAGTTTTCTTGGCAAGATTTTTGGAAGTGGTTTGCCCTTGCCTCGTCTTCCTTCCTAGGGCTGAGAGAAAGGGACTGGCCCAAGGCCACCCGACTGACTTTGTGACCGGTTTCTAGCCAGGTGCCTTACCCACTACGCCAAACTGGTTCATGTTGCCTCTTACTGTATGAAATAAAGAATTTGGCAATACATTTGTATGAAAGATGTAAGTTGTTATTTAAGGCAATTAAATATAGTCCAAAAGCCGCAACAATGTTATGATTATTTAAGTTCAATAAATTGTCACAAAACAAGGAGCACATTTGCTGTTATTTAATGCCAATGGTAGGTAACCAACAACTCATGAATGTTACGTGACCCTTAAACTTTTTCCTTCTCTTTTTTGGTCCACCAAACTCTCCGAGATTGTGCTAATGCCATTCAACAGCAAACTGCTAAAGAACAGTGGCATGATTTCCTATGAAATTTTAGTGGGGAAAAAAGAGAAAAGTGGAGTGGTAAATCTTAGACTTTTAACAAACCAAGCTCTTAAAAAAAAAAAAAAAAAGATTTGTCCCAGGGTGAAAAAGGTGTTGATTCATCATCTTGATGTCATTACTCAATGGCCCTTAGTCACTAAAGCAACCATAATAAAAAGTGCAGCCACTAGCTGCAAAAAAATTGTCCATCTTGTTTTATGACAAGAATAAATATTATTCTTTGTAATTCTTTTAATTTGATCAACCATATACTTTTTCTTCCCAAGGCAATTACTTTATGGTTTTTAAAGAAATATTTGGATATTTATTGAAGTTGCTAAGCACCCAAAACAATGCATGGTTTAGAGCAAAGGATTATGTGTTTAATTTAGGGTTAGGTAAGAAAGGTGGATGGACTCAGTTACAGTAGCAATGGTGCACTGTTGGGCAACCTGAAAGACCAACTTAGGGACAGATCTTCATGGAGAAAATCTATGTGGTTGCTAAGAGTCAACACTGACTTGATAACACATAATCAGTTTAATACATAAGGACTTTTGCATGGAAGCCTAAAAATAATAGCAGATGTCTACAGGGAAAAGCATTGAGGATACAGAAAATAAAGGAGGTTTGCCCATCCCCAACCTAATGCAAGAGCAGTGTGGTATAGTGGTTCAGGTGTTGTACTGGCACCAGGAAGACCCAGGTTCAGATCCACCCCTAATCACAGAAGCTCCCTGGATGATTTTGGGAGCTGTCTCTCTTTCTCAGCTCAACCCACTTCATAGAGTTATTGTAGTGGGGAGAAATGGGGGACAGAGTGCTATGGGTCCTACCTTGAGCTCCTGAATAAATCTAATATAATGTCTAACAAAAGTCCTCTTTGCTGCTAAAACTAACAGTGCTAAATGCTAGCCCTGAGGGCTGTTTGTTACTTAGCAACATTTGATTACAAAATGAACACTTGGGGTGCTCCATTTCGACATTTGAATAAAGTGCCCCTTTGAAGCCCATCTGTGATGTGGCACCCTATTTCTAAGAAGCAGAGTGGAGCAGTTGCACTAATTTGTTTTGCTTAGCAACACCCATGCCCGTGCCCAAGCTCTGGGATCAGGCAATCAGGGTCTTGCCTTGACTTTATACATACACTAATGACCATTATTCATAGCCTTCCAAAAGCTGAAACTCCTTTCACGCTATTTTCACTCACTTGTTACCTTGAAATGCTTTGTCTAATATATATTGTCTTGGCATGGCTATTTAAAGATTTGAAGAACATATTACAAATGGAAAGAAAAGCGTCCCTGACTGCTCTTAACAGCAGTATTCAACACATAAACAAGTTAAGAGCAGTCCCTTTGGAAAATCTCTTTGGGTCTTGTAAGCTCAGCTGTAATGCCCTATAATGTATCATAGCTTACTGGTTTTGATATTCTGCTGAAACTGTTGGGTAGGTTCAGATGCAATTTAAAAGAGTTGACATCTTAGAACCAGAGAAAGAATATTGAGATTCTGGGAGATACAAGCAAGCTCTGTTGTCATGAGCTTGCTTGTATCATGTGGGTAACTTTGGTTCTCTTAGGATTACAAGACTTCAGGCTTTGTGGAGGAGAATCTTGATGAATCAAATCAACATCTTTACTGCAATCACTGACCAGGTTCTTGGCCTTTGGGCTAGGATCAGATAAGTTTGAATGGGTCTATTCATGCTAATTGTCCAGCAGCAGGTGATCTGAAGGCATGCTGAAAATGTCCTGAACAATGCTGTTCATCAGTGCTCTTTCAGACATAGTAACATGCTCTTGCAATTACACTTACATCAGGAATTGGTCTCTGTGCACTGCTGATTATATGACAAGCCTGTGATTCTGATTTCCAGTTGGTCTGGAAATAATCCTGTTAGCTTGGTGCTGGTTAAAATTATGACACAGTCAAAGTATATACACACACACACACTTTAAAAAAAAGAGGAAGCATGAATGTATTAGAAAACTCACTGATGTTCATGATTTAATAATTTGGTCAATTTAGGAGAATAAATGTCCTAATGTTTTCAGTCATAGCACGTCAGATAAGAAGTGTGGCATCTAAAAAGCTCACCAGTTTCATTAAAGTACATGGATCTTAAAAGACACTGTTAGAGAATGAAACAGGAGGCTTCAGCAAGTCACTGATAGCAATTAAGCCGCCAAGATGTCTTTAGTCTACTCTGTAATGAATTGTGGGTTTGCAAAGCATTATGTTCTGAGCTTGAAGTGGCCACTTGGAATACTCTGAGACTGGAATAATATACATTTTCTGGAATTTTGTTGGGATCCTGACCTAGTATGCTGTGACTTCTTCAACCAACCATGCTAGAGACAGACCATAGTTTTAACCTAGCCCTTCTGAGTCACGTTTTTACTAAATAAATAAATAAATAAATATAAATAAATAAAATCAGCAGTGGATAAAAACAGCTGTATTGATAAGGAAGTCATTCGCTCCCTATATAGTTCTTATTAAGGCAGACTGCAGCTTTTTAAATCAATTGTAATTTCTGAAAACCTGTTAAAGATAGCCTTATCTTTATGTGCAGAGCACATTGTAATAATCCAAGCCTGGTGTAACTAAAGCATATACTATTGTGGCAAATCTACATTCTTCAAGAATAAGCATTCTGTACTTGATTCATCAGGCTTAGCTGGGCAAAGGCATTCCTGGCCTTGCTAGTGTGTGGGGCTTACACATCATACTAACACATCACTTGTTTAACCATGGTTTATTGAATGAAACAAAGGGCATCATTCCAGTGATGACCTAACCTGATGTACTCAGCCATTGGTTCTTTAGCTGCTACTCCTTGATTAGCCTTTTTACGTATAGTCTTTAGACTTAATTATTGAATAGTTTCAGCTGTGAATTTTTAAGTTATTTGCATTTATGCAAAGCTTTCATGTTCCTATATTCCCTGGGTATTAATCAGCTGAACATGGATGCAAAGCTGTCATTTCAAGTGGGAAACAAGTATTGTTAAGTTTTGAATTTGTATTAAAAGAAACTGGGGGAAGTGAACAGAAATGTTTTCTTGGTACGCGCTGGTACAATAACTGATCCCATATTCCAGATGTTAGCAACCCTGTGCTCTTGAAATTGTAACCCTCATAGTCCTCAGCTACACAGCTGGAACTCATAGTATTTTTATTACAAGCATCTGATGCCTGCCAGTTCTCTGACTCCTTGCAGGTAGTTTTATGATGATGACCACCTGGAACAAATACGGCACACTTTCTAGATCTGCATGGGTGTTGAATATTTTTCACAGCATCTGTTGGCTGCCTGGGGGAAAAGAGAAATATAGATAGAAACCTTAGTTCTGTTGCTGGTAAAATTGTGTATCAAACTAGAGATTTAGAAGGAAAAAAAGCATTAAGCATGGTAAGGTAAGAGATGAGAATGAATCCAGGTTGCACAGCCAGCAACCTCACGTAGTGTACCTGTTGCTGTATTCTGGACTTAGAAATGGAGGGACTAAGAGGATCAGTTGAAAATCAGTTATAGAATCAGAAAGCAAGAGTTGGCACTTGAAGATCTGTTGCAATGTAATCATCATTGTGAATGAATCCTACAGTCCTATCCAAATGTTCTCCTC